CATACGCGGGTTGGAACCTCGTACCCCAAGCGTGTAAAACACAAGTTTTACCAACTCGGCAATCGTACTTTGCTACCGACATTTGAAAAATTTAGGTATTTAAGCTAATTCAAATTTCAAAGTTATTTTTCTCGACTTTAAAGAAGCAAACAAATTTAAATAAGTTTAACTTTCTATGATATATTAATTTTAATTTATATAATATTTATGAAAATCTATACTCCCCTTGTCAGGTATTTTAAAATAAAATAAAATACAAAACCCAGAATTTTAACACAAAAATAGCAAATTTTTGAATACGGTAGTCATTTTTACCATGAAGACAAATCCAGAGGTCAAATTTTTTTTTTTAAATTAAAGTATATTATATAAGCTTTAATTTAAGATATATATAAAAGTGTCAGTATTTCCGGAATACTTTCAAAAATTAAATTGAAAATATCTTAGTAACAATACGCATGTTTAAAGTTTTGACCCCCCTTGTTAAAGGGGTATGATCCGATTTACAAAAAAAGCGTGCCAGATGAAAGGGGTATATAAATATTTATTATAAAAAAATAATAATATTGATCCATACATTTTTCCAAAAGTTATATAAAATATAAATTAAATAATATAACATATAAAATCGAGATTTTTTTCACGGAAATCGTACGTTTTTCTTTAACTTTGATGTCCGTTTTCACCACGAAGACAAGTCCAGAGGTCAAATTTTTTTTTTTCAAATTAAAGTATATTACATAAGCTTTAATTTAAGATATATATAAAAGTGTCAGTCTTTCCGGAACATTTTCAAAAGTTAAGTTGAAAAAGTTCTACTTTCTATACGCATTTTAAAAGGTTTGCACCCCCCCTGTATAAAGGGAAATGGTCCGATTTTAAAAAAAAGTATGTCGAATGAAAGAAGTATATATAAAGTATTTATCATTAAAGAATAAAGTTGATTCATGCATTTTTTAAAAAGTTATAGCAACATAATGTTAAAAAATGTAAAATATAATATCAAGAATTTTTTCACAAAAATAGCATATTTTTGCATACGGTAGTCATTTTCACCATGAAGACAAGTCCAGAGGTCAAATTTTTTTTTTTCAAATTAAAGTATATTACATTAGCTTTAATTTAAGGTATATATAAAATTGTCAGTCTTTCCGGAACATTTTCAAAAGTTAAGTTGAAAAAGTTAATTTTTTGTAAAAAAGTTACCATTTTGAAACCCCATCCTTTGGGCTGTTAAAGGGTCAAATGTTCACAAAAATATATAAAATGATAGGTAATTATCTAAGGTATCTATAAAAAAAAAAATTATATTGATTCGGTCATTTTTAAAAAAGTTATGGCAATTTTAAGTAAAAAAAATTGAAAAAATATCGAAAATTAGCGATTTTTAAATTTGTAATTTTTTGGGGGATTTCCCCCGTTTACGGGGAACGAGGGAATTTTTTTCAATTTTTGAGGGTAATGTCTTCGACTAGATACGATTTGTGATCTTTTGACATATTGTTCATCAAAATCGGTCCAGCGAGAGCTGAGATTGAGCGTTCACAGACACAAAAAAAAAAATAAAAAAAAAAAAAAAAAAAAAAAAAAACACATCATAGTAAAATTAATACCTTCTCAGCTTCGCATCGAAGCTAAAACTTTGTCTTCTTGCATGATAATCTTATTAAACTAAATTATTTTATTCCAGTAACGTTATGGTATTTACGTATTTAACACTGTATATAACATTTTTTTATTTTTAAAATTATATAATGTACACCGTCTACCCTAATGGGCTTATAAAACTTAACTAAATTTAATTTTACTAATTTTTTATAAATAACAAATATACCCCTAAATCTACCAAAAAAGGACTGCAATCTATAAATAATTTGTTATAGTGATAATAATAATTGTATAATATTACGATTTTCAAACTATCAAATAAATAATTCTATTGCACCTTCTTTGGGATGGTCATCATCATTGGTATGATCTCTTCTGAATTTGCCATAATCACATACCATTAAGTATACACTTCTACTTGGAGACATATTTACAAGTTGGGTTTTTGGGTTTAACCTACAGAACTTTGAATAGAACTAAAAAAGTAATTTTTTCATCGGATAATAATGGCGTATCATCAAACCACCATAGCTTGAAAATTCTTTGAAATTTTGTTTAATGTTTTAGTTTTTCTAAGGATGTATCTCCATTAAAACTAATTACGTATAATAAATATATACAGTAGCGCTCAAAAGTATTTTGACAAATTAGTTTAGGCCATTAGAAGGCGTAGCCTGCAAGATAATAAGTAGCAGACTATTTTCTAGGGTAGAGCACAGCAGGGTGCAGCTGTTATCTTTTGGAAAAAACCCTGACGATGTGGGCACAGGTTAAAAGGTCCGTTTTTTCTAAATTTAGCGCTCAAAAGTATTTTGACAGGTATATTTGTTAGCGCTAACACCTATTTTATTTTGTGATTATTTTGTTTGGCTGTGTGTTGCCGTTTGTTTACATTGTGCGGAACCTTCTAACTAAAATGCCGAAAGTTAAAGAGTATTCTACTGATCTTAAAGAGGNTTAAGTAATTCGTTTTTTCTTCTTTAATTTTATTGAAATTATTTATGTTATCATTTTTTTTATTAAATATCAATTTTGTGTTAAGAATTACAGACTTTAAAATGGCAAGGAATTGCTAAATATTTTAAAATTGTTAAAAGTATCTCAAATGAAATAATTATACCTATTTAATAACATCAATAAATATATGTATGTGTATTTAACATTTGTATGTTTCTATTATTAATTTTTAATTATTTCTAACAAATTATGTGTCTATAATGATACATAATTATAATATAAATATTATTTTTTTGTATTAATATTAATGTTAATATAATTAATTGGTAACATTGAAGTAGGTTGACATTTCCAAAACACTGTTCCTTAAAAGCTTAAGTTATATAATAAAATCTTAAGGCATTTTTATTCATTTATGAGTATAATAATAAGTTAATTTTTGTAAAAATTATTGAAGACTTATTTATTTATTTTGTATAAAGTCAACCATGCATTTATGACATTCCATTTGCATTGGGTGATCTTGCATAAGCTGAAGGATACGCCTTGAAAAATATCTACACAAGGGTGCTTTGCTACAAAGTTCATGAGAACCAAGTATAAATCTTTCTTCGCAATCCGAATTTTCAGACTCCTAAAAAAACCAAGTAAAATTAAACTTTTTTACATTCAATTATTTTATTTAATTAACTTACACAAGAACGACAAACACGATATAAAGTACATAAAGGTAACAACAAGTCTCCAGCCGATCCTCCTATTTCTAAACAATCTTGTGTTATTTGCAAAAGTTGTGAACATTCCTTAGGCTCAACTAAAATATAAAACAATTTTCAGTAATTAGGATATTAAAATATAATAGTAATAATTAAATCTGTGTCCCTAGTGTAATAGTTAACATTTAGTTTTAAAACAATATAATTTTAATATAAAAAAATATGAGTTATCGAAAGTAATTTTAATAATATTTGAAGAATATTTTATTTTTTTCAATTATAAGAGCTATGTTTTTGCTATTATCGAATTAGTATTTAAGTTAATAATGTGTTAGAAGTAGTTACAAATTAATTTAAATAACTAATAAATATTGCTTTATTTTTTTTTAATAATAAGTAAACAATATTAGTTTTGAAATACTTACCATCCAATTGTTGGGCCATATTTTCCAATGATTCAATGGGCTGAGTACGATTTTCTGCTAAAATTACTCCATTTTGATTTTCATTGTATTTTTCTTTAAATTTTTCAAAATGATGTATTATAATTTAAAAATTTTATCAACATAATACATTTTATTTAATTTTTTGCCAATATTAAAAATTCAATTAAACGATTAATAAACTTTACATTAGACCTCTAACATATTTCTTAGGTGACAAGTCTAATAGAATTAAATGAACAAATAATAATTTACCTTTTACATTGTTATTTTCTTGTCTTAGTTTTTCTATACTATATGCTTTATTTAAATTTTCAAATACTTGATTTTTAACATTGTTGACTTTTTCGGGATCATTAATACCTTGGTTAGCTCCTGTGTATTTCAATGTATCATCAATTAAAGCATCTTCTAACCACATTAGTTTATCTTCTTTTAGAGGCCATTCTTTTTCTTGGTATGGAGTTTCTAGCAATCGATCTTTTATTTGTCTTCCTTTTTCAAATGTATGTTTGATAGGATTTACTTGGCTGCTTGGATCATTCTCATTGACATACGCTTGCATATATTGGGTTAAGATTGCATCATTATCTGGCATGTTCCTTACAGATTTTTTCCTAGAAAAATTTACTTGTTCATTAATTGAAAAAATCATGAGAATACAGTATTAATATTAATATAAAATGTATTACATACTTTCGATCAAATCCAAAGTAATTACTCCAATCTATAGACTTTTTTTTTACGTCTATTTTACTATTGGCTTCATTGAATTTATCTAAATTTATAATTGTAGCATTTAAAACTTTAACAGTTGATATTCCAGTAGGAACTTGGGTAATTGTTTCATTGTTTTGCTGTCCTGAACCAAGGAAAATGTTAGTGAGTTCTGCTTCTATTTTAGGATCTGTGTGTGTATCATTCAATGCAATATTTTTCTTCGATCTTTTTGTTATTCTGGGTTTTACTTTCAACCATTTATTAATATGATGTTTATTTTTTCTAGAAGGATATCTTGGTATGAATAGAAATTGCTTTTCTACTGATCTTCCTAATTTACTATAGTTAGGATCGTACAAAGAACGATATTCATCAGGTGCATCGCGTTTCTCGTCATAATTAGATCTGACAAAATTTTCCAAATCCTCATCAGACAAGTCTTGTACATTTTCTTCTAAATATTTATTTAAAAGCGAGTTTAAAGTGTACAAATAATTGTCTTGGTCTTCCATATTATTCGCGTCTGTATTATCTTGTAAATTGTTTAGAGATTCTTTATATCGTTCACGAAATGCAGATGGTATAGTAAATCTTTCATACTTTAACTGTTGTAAATTTTCAGGCACATCTGCAGAATCTTCTCTTTCACGGAATATCGATTTTTTGTTTAGTTGTTTTGGTTTATTGTTGCTTTTTTCTCTGGATAAATAGTTCAATACTTTCTCAACCATTTCGCCTTTAGATATTTGATTAGAAGATGATGCTTGATCAAATACATTTTCTAAATTCCTTAAGTTTTTTTGATAACCATAGCCTATATCTTCTGGCTGCCCATCCCCTATAAAAAATATTCAAACCAAAATTAAAGGACATACAGAGTAATCGGTTTATTATAAACCATTCCATTACCTGAAAAATAAATACTATATTACAAAAAAAAAATCGATTTCTTTTAGTTATATATATTTCTTGATTTATTACTTTTTAGGATCATCCCTTTTAACTTGAAGGGGTGTAAACTTTATTTTTTTATGGTAACATATATATTAAATTAACTTATAAAATAGGAATTGATCTAATTAAGAAAATGACTGGACGATAATAACTTTTAAACTAGTGTTTCAGAAGTTAACAACAATTTAAAGTAATGACTGGAGGTGTGAATAGGATACTGCTATTATTATCATTAGTCATTACCCGACTGTATTTTTCGTCCTGCCTAAGTATATAAATGTAAAAAAACTTCCGAAATACTGATCCAAAAGTTCTAATCGACTAGCCATTTTTTTAATTAGATTATTTTCTATCATATAAACTAGTGGAATATGTATGTTGCCATTTGAAAAAAAAATTGCCACCCTTTTAAGTTATATGGGATCATTATAAAAAGTTGTTATTAACTGATAAATTAAAAAATATATGTAACTAAAAGAAATTAAGTTTTTTTTTCAAATATTGTATTTTGGGAGTAATCGAGTGGTTTATGATAAACTGATCACTCTGTATAGTATTTGATGTAGCGCAATTAGAAGGAGAAAGGGTTAGAGGGGTTACAGTGTTCTCAAAATGTATAATACGAACATTAACGAATCTTTTATGAACTGTTAAAAATTAAATTTGCTTGAAGTAATGTAATATGAGCTCACATATAGATATTTATACTAACGTAGTTAAAACTGACGATGGGAAATAAATAATAATCTTTTAAAAATTAAAATCCAGATATAATATGTATTAATTGTATTACCTGGGTTTAAGTAAACTACACTTGATGGTGTTTCTTCTATTTTGTCTGAGATTACTTTTAATGCAGCTAATAAACTATTATCAGAACTTTGTACTCTTAACACTCCCATATTGACTAAAATTGAAACTAAAATAAAATTTTTCCAACACCATATTTGCCTTAAGTTACTCATTTTATTTTTATAAATTAACAATAAACTTTTTTTTTTAACCACTATAAGATTACGTGTGGTCGGAAAATGAAAGGGAACAGCGTTACAGGTGGTGGTTGCCAGGCAATGAGAGCTGCGCACTAAGTAATGAGGATCAATAATGTCTCTCTGTACCCTGAATGGGGGGAGCCAGGAGTATGAACATTTCTTTTTAATATTTCTTTCAAAGATAACAAACTCGAACATTTTTAATTAAAACTTAAAGTTGTTAAACAAAAGATCACATAAATGAAAATTTTTTTTTGTAAAATTACAGTTGATGTTTATTTTATCGCAAAATAAGCCATAGGTACCATGGTCCTAATCTATTTTTTGCTAGTGTATCTATAGACTAAAATATTTTTTAACTTCAATGTGAAGTTGAAAAGGTATTAATTTTACTGATATGTTTTTTTTTGTACCTGTTACCACTTTTTCTCAGCTCTCACCGAACCAATTTCTTTCAACGATACGTCAGATCACAAATTGTATTTAGTCGAAGATAATTGAAAAAATTTCCCTTGTTCCCCGTAAATGGGGGAATTCTCCAAACAAATTACAAAATTAAAAATCGTTAATTTTCGCACATTTTCAATTTTTTTTATTAAAATGTTCTGGAAGCATTACGTTCTATAAACATATGTTAAATTAAAGCTTATGCTATATATTATAAGTTGACAAAAAAAACTGTCCCGACATCTATCTTCTATGTGCAAATGGCCATCAAAGTTGAACAAATTTATTAAATATTTATTCATATATTACACTTAAATATCATAACATTTGTAATCAGGATATAAATAAAGAAATAATTCATTTTTCAATTGGACAAATCCATCAATTTCTTAACATTAAATATTATCTAAATATTTGCATCGAAGCGCTTCTTTATTAAAAAAAAATTGTTATACATTTTCTAATTTTAACTTTTTATCTTTTAGCTTCGATGCGAAGCTGAGAAGGTATTAATTTTACCATGATGTGTTTATTTTTTTTTTTTTATTTTTTTAGCTTCGATGCGAAGCTGAGAAGGTATTAATTTTACCATGATGTGTTTATTTTTTTTTTTTTATTTTTTTAGCTTCGATGCGAAGCTGAGAAGGTATTAATTTTACCATGATGTGTTTATTTTTTTTTTTTTTTTTTTTT